AATTTGTGATAATATTGTTTTATTTAATGCACTTTTACTATACCAAGAGAATTTTATCATCTCAATGAATATAAGCCTTTTTTTCTGATCTACACTGCATACACGTTAAAACATCATGAGCCTGATAGTCTGATATGAGCAAAACAAACTTATTCGAATGCTTTACTAATTAGCCGTGAAAAATATGATATACTTGGATCTATATTAAATGGAGTTCCTGAGTCCAGGAAAGATTCTACACAGTATTATTCGTAATCTAGCTTAATACTGAAATATTATTCAGAAATTTTTAAAGCGTCATGAGTCCTCGAAGCTTTAGAGGGTGATGCATCAACAGGAGATTCACTTACACCAACGTGAGTTTTAATTAAGGGAACGATCTTCTGCACTGCTAGGTAATAATCCATTATTCGACTCTGTCATGTCAAAAAATAAAATAAGCATGGAATACATAAAAATAATACATTAAAAGCTATCAAAATTTATACCTTAAATAAATAAACATTTTCGATAACTTCTTTTAAGGCATACAATTGATCCTTAGTACTTGGAATACGTAATTCTGTTAGAACATCAATAACATGTAGACCTCCATTTGTTCGATGCATTACATAAAATGTAAACTTTCGCTCTAAGATTGATAAAAAAAAATACAAGGCTTAATAAACTTTAATAAAATTTATGGGCCTCAGATCTATGTTACTTACGGTAGATAACAATTCCATACGACTCTATAGAAGATACTTCTTGTTCTGTCGCTCCACGTGATATATAGTGTTGACGTTGGTAATGAATAAAAATTTGCATACATTTAAACACTTTTTCGGTATCCTCGCTTAATTTTTTGATATTAGTATAAAAGGCGTTGCCAACAACCTCTAAGAACCCTACTTCCAAAATAGTAGCATTTACATTAATAGAGTATATTCCGTCCTGGGAACACCCGATGCTAACACGTTGCTTATATTGACGAGTTTCAATCCTTTGAGTTTTGTTCGATTGGTTTTCTACCTCCCCTCTATACAAATGATAACCTGTTAGTGACCAAAGGCATAAATAATAAATGGAAATTTTTCTTAATGACAAATTCAAACTTACGTTTTTACTTTAATCAGATCCATGATGTCGTCAAAAACTTTAACAACGATGGGATTCACAAAGTTTTCCCGGTAAGAAAGTTCACTTTGATCTGGATCCAGTAGTAAGTTAGTGGGTACATCGAAAAGGAATAAACTAAAAAAAAAAATAAATAGACGAACTTTAAATTAAGTGTCACAAATGGAAATAACACTAATCACGAATATTTATACTAACAACCGTTTATAAATATCTTGTATCCATAAGAGATCATGATGCTCTTTATGAATAAAAGGTCTAACATACGGTTTCTCAAGAACATCCTCAATAGCACTATCCAGGGAAATTACATCAAAAACAGATTTCTTTTCTAAATGGGCTTGGTACTTTTGTATAAAAGGAATCAGAACCTTTTCCCATTTATCTAGACGAATTGTCTTTACTTTTTCTGACGGTTCTAACTATGAATGGCAAGCAAAATTATTAAATTTTTGACATAAAAAATTAGGTTTACAAGCAAATAATACAATACCGAGTTCCAAATATCTTTTAAGGTGCGCTTTTCAGATTTTGACAATTTATTAACGGGATTCGTAACATTTCGTTCCGAAAGATTAATGATTCGATATTCAAATAGACGATATTTTATACATTTTATTTTTTCGATTATTTTACGGATTTCCTCCGTTATAGTCTGTGAATTCTGTGTAGATAGTTAGAAAATCTGATGAGGTTAAACATTGTAATGTTAAAGTTGTGCAAATACCTCCTGAGATAAATTTATGTAAGTATCTTCGATATCAACTTCGTAATTTTGCATTTGTCCTATTGTCTGTGTGGAACCTTTTTCGTGATCGAAATTGGAATAAGTGAAATCCAAATCCGAAAACTCTTGCCCACTCCAAGAGGTGACGGAAGCACCTGATAAAGCATCACACGAAAAAATTTGATGTGGAGGAGTATGTGGTGGCTGATCTTGTTCACATTGGGAAGGAGTAACTGGGAAGTATTCATCTATTCTTGTATGTTTTTGGTTATTCTGAAGTAATGTAGATCATTAGAACAAATCGCAAAATAATAGTTATACTGAAAAATACGCATTTGTACCTTTTCATGATCTTCATCTTCATCCCTTTTTGATACTCTTTTGGACGAATTAAAAGAAGTTCCGCTGATACTCCCTCCCATCAGGTTGTTTCCTGTAAAGGTTGGATTATAAAGTTGAAACGAGGGTCCACCAATTGTACCAGCCGAATTACGCTCACTCTTCCATTGCCTAGCAGATTGGTAGTCTGGTCCAATTTGATCACCCTAAAAAAAATCAAGAAAAAGGGTAGTAATTACTAATTATTTTAAACTGGCGTGTTCCTGGTTCTATATATATATATCCCA